AACTGAACTCAGGCCCTTGTTTTTGTTTTTTGTGGAACCGGGGATTGAACTCGGGCCCCTGCACTTGCCAGGGAAGCACTTATTCCACTGAGCCATCTTCCCAGTCCCAAACTCAGGCCCTTGTGCTTGCCAGGCAAGCATTTATTCTACTGAGCTATCTCCCCAGCCCCTTCATTTGAATTCTAAAGACTAGTATAGATAGCCTGCTACAACATGGAAGCCATGTTGAAAAAAGAATTTTTTTTTTTTTTTTTTTGTGCAGGTTTATATGCAACATGTAAAACTTTAGGAGAATCTGAGCTCCAAATTCCCTCAAATATCTCAACTCAGCCAACAGCACTACCACATAAGGCTACTAAGAAAGTTTCCTTTTTTCTTAACTAGTGAAAAGCTAATAAGATATTCCTGGTATTAACAGCCTCAGAATTTCATAGTTCATACCGAGTGAGCACTGATAGCTCCAAAGAGATGAATACTGAATCTATTACTAAAGTGAATGCCTCTGGCCATTAAGGAAGCTGTGCCTTTTTATAAATTTCACTTGTTTTTATAAAAAGTTCTATAAACGCCAGCAAGACAGCTCAGCTGACTAAGTACCTGCTTAGGCAAGCGCAAGGACAGGGGTTTGATCCTCAGCACCACATGGCACACACGCCCTGCCCCTGGCACACTGAGCAACAGAGACAGGGTGTGGTGGCATACACCTATACCGCCTGTAATCCCAGTGCTGGGGAGGCTGAAAACAGGATCACTACAAGTCCAAGGGCATAGCGAGACCTTTCACCAAATACATAAAAATAGTAAAAAAATAAAATAAAGTTTTATATATTCTTTAATTTTTTTTTTTTTTTTTGGTTTTGTTTTTTTGTTTTTTGGTGGAACCGAGGATTGAACTCAGACCCTTGCACTTGCCAGGGAAGTGCTTATTCCACTGAGCCATCTCCCAGGCCCCATATTTTTTAATTTTAATAGAATTAGAAACAGCCTACAGCAGGCGATATAGCTCAGCTATCTAAAGTGCCTGCTTAGGCAAGCACCAGGACCACAGTTAGATCCCCAGCACCATGTGCCCCACCAGCCCCGCCCCCAGGGCAGGCTGAGCCAGCCACAAAACAAGACAAAAAAAAAAAAAAAAAAAAAGAGAGAGAGAGAGAGAGAAAGCCTAAAAAACAATCATGTTGTAATAAACACAGATAACAAGTATCAGAATAATTCTGCAAATAGGCCTCAAGGTGCTTTAACTTAATTTGCTCAAAAATCATCATTAATCATACCAAAAAAAAATCATCATTAATCAAAGAAAATCATTAACACATTAAGATGCCTCTAAATTTTAAATATTCTTTTTTTTTTTTTTTTTTTTTTTGGCAGAACCAGGGATTGAACTCAGGCCCCTGTGCTTTCCAGGCAAGTGCTTATTCCACTGAGCCCTCTCCCCAGCCCCTAAATTTTAAATATTCTTGTTAAAGACACAATGTTATCTATTCATTTTCTCATTAAGAATAGAAACAATCCACAAGTATATGCTTTAAAAATAAAAAAAAAAGCTTACACTTTTCAGTATCTCGCCATTTAAAAATAAAGTTTTCCTTTTTGTCACTGGTTTATTTCTCTAAGGGAAAAAACTTCAAAAATTCCAAATAAAAAGCTGGGGATGTAACTTAGCAGATGCAGTGCCTACCTTGGCAAGCATGAAGCCCTGAGTTCAATTCCCGGTACCAAAAAAAAAAAAAAGAATTCCAAACATGAGGTAATGAAGTATATTATATTTGTATTTGCTATATTTGATGTGCCAATTAGTTTTATTTTGATCTATATTTTAATACATTTATTCCCCAAATAAAATATGGTATACCATCTCTTAAAAATCCATCTGTTGATAAATTGATACACTATTCTTTTTAATTTTAAAACTCCGTCACTTACCAGTCCAATTATTTAAGTACAGGATGACCAAAAATTACATACATTTTGTTAATTTTTATAATACAACAGGCAATATGTACATGACAATTTTATCCAATTTAGTGAATTGGTTGAAATAACACCTGCCAGGGGCCCTGGCCCTAGCTCAGGCCTTTAAGTGGCTGCTTCCACAAAGCTGTCAGCCTCAGGTTGCTGGAGTTCAAACCTTACAACTCTCCCGCTGGCCAAAAATGCCCTGAAGGTATTCGAGGAACCAAAAAAAAAAAAAACAAAAACAAAAACAAAAACAAAAACAAAAACACCTGCCTAAGCAATGCTCAGGATAGTACATAAACATGCTGTCCAAGTTATGCTTAGGATAAACTGTTAAGTAGTTAAAATTAACCTATCATTCTCTTTAATAAGTGCTCAATATATGTACTATCTTACAATATTAACATTTGGGCTTTGTCAATACGTAATAGAAACTGAGCTTGCTTTAATTCTATGAATTCGGGGCTGGGGAGATGGCTCAGCGGAATAAGCGCTTCCCTGGCAAGCGCAGGGGCCTGAGTTCAATCCCTGTCTCCGCAAAAAAAAAAAAAAAAAATTCCCAACCCTAATTCTAAAAATACCAATCTACAAAAATATGTACACATGGATGTACACTGCAGTAGTCAAATAGCATATATTCATATTTCATATATGAAATACTAAAAATCAGCATGGCATGGTGACACATGGCTGAAATCCCAGCTACCTGGGCAGCTGAGTTACAAGAAACTCAAGTTCAAGGCCAATCCAAGCAATGTAAGTAGACTGTCTCAAAACTTTTTTTAAAAAGGACTCAGGATATAGTTCAGTGTCCCAATGCTCAATTCCCGGGGGGCGGGGTTGGGAAGAGAAACAAACTAATCAATCAACATGAAACTAAACTAATTTCAAGAAATTACAGTGCATTAAGAACTACCATGGGAACAGCTAAGTATGATACTGCATGCCCATAAATCCTGGGGTTTAGGAGGCTGTAGCAGGAGGATCATCGTTGAGTTATAGGCTAGCAGAGAATGCAGAGTGAGATCCACACCAGACTGAATTAGATAGCAAGACTTTGTTTCAAAGAAAAACAAAAAAATGAACCAAAAATACCCCCTAAAGTAGCTGACTGCAGTGGCATGCCTAAAATCCCAATTACTCAGAAGGATCACAACTTTTGAGGGCAGCCTAGGTGACTTAGCAAGACTGTGTCAAAATAGAGACCTAGATTATATAGCTCAGTGTGTCAGAGTGCCCGAGTTTGATTCACATTGCTGAAGAAAAGAGGGAGAGAAAAAGGGGAGGGAGGTTAAGGGTTAAAAAAAAAAAAAATTAATTTTATGTAACTATATTAGACCTGTATGTACTCAGTAAGATAATCATGATATAACTGTCAGGATAAAAACAAAGTTACAGAATAAATGTATACTTTATTTTTTTAAACAGAAGACATGTTGAATTGTAGTGGCATTACAATTTAAACACAAGGAATCCCCCCTCCCTCAACAGGGTCTTGCTACTTGCTATGTAGTTCATGATGGCCTTGAGCTCACTATGTAGTCGACTGTCCTTGATCTTGTATTGTGGTGATCCTCCTGCCTCTGCTTCCTGAGTTCTGGGATTATTAAATTAAAAAATAAAGTAAGCTATTCACAACTCCTTTATTAAACCCCAAATTAAGAATAGGCTTGCTCTAAATCTTTCTAGGGCAATGACCATAGGCCCTTCACTCACTTAATCAATAGTCTCAATCACCAGCTAAGCTGGGGAGGGTAACAAAAGAGACACTCGAAATACAGCAAAAAAATAAAGAGAAACTAACAGAAGATCAGAGAAGAGGTGGGGAAAAGGTAAAAGAAGAGGAGAGGCAAAGTAACAGTGCATTAAAGCTACATCTATTAAACAAAATATTATTCTGGAAATATTATCAAACTTACACTGTAAGTGGCTGCTTCCATTTGGGGCTATTCGTATTATTGCATTTTTCTGTCTTCTTTGACTGTCCATCCACTGTCACTTCCACGTAAGGACTTGGTCCAAACCAATTCTTTTTATTTTCTTTAAGTTTTGCTGAGATGACTATGTAAAATAAAAATACACACATTAGGGGCTGGGAAGATGGCTCAGTAGAATAAGCGCTTCCCTGGCAAGCACAAGGGCCTGAGTTCAAAACCCCAGTTCCACAAAAAAAAATAAAAATAAAAAAAAATAAAATAGACACATTCCAGTATTTGAGATGTTAAGTCCTTGAATCAATTTAATTTCCAAATGTTTCAAAAGATTTTTGCTGAAAAGCAAGTATGCTAGTATGTTTCCTAATCTTTTTTATGACTTCTATTTACTAGGTTGGGACAAAATATAAACATAGAGCTTCCTTAAACCATACACAAAAATCAAAAGATTCCCACTGTTGGCGTCAACAGACCAGAACTCAGGTATGTTAAAAAAGTACATAGACAACCAATACTGTCATGTGTCAGACAGTGTTCCAAATTCTGTGAACAGATCAGTAACAGTATATAAATGGCACTAGCCTTCAAGATCACATTCTGGTTAGAGACCAGTCCTTGTGATGAAAGCAGGCTACTGCGACAAAATATGACTTGTTAATGAAGAAGTCTCTGAGGAAGAACTTTTCTTCCCCTCCTCACCTCTAAAGTGACACTGTTCTGGTTCTCTCTCTCTTTTTTTTTTTTTTTTTTAAGTTGAAGTGCTGAAACTTGTTCACTGAAACATTTTTTTTTAATTATTTATTTATTACATTTATTTATTGTGTGTGTGTGTGGCCAGCTCAGCCCACCAGGGGGCGCAGTTGGCTGACATATCGAACCGCGGTCCCTGTGCTTTGACAAGCTTGTTTCAAGTAGGTGCTTTAGACCACTGAGCCATCTCTCCAGCCCCTCTGGTTCTCTTAAAGGATAATTATCTTAGATTTAGTCTATTTTACTCAACATGACATTTTTGGGCAATAGTCACTTGTAATTTTTTTTTCTGTACAAGCTCTATTCTTTTTTTATTAGTGGATATTAGTAATTTACAAAATGAGATTTGTTTGGGTGTACTGGCTCATGCATATATTTTTTTATTATTTTCATCTCCATTATCACTCTCCCCCCACTCATCTTCAACAATCTACATTGTAGTTTCCTATCACTTTTTAAAAAATTGCTGGTTTGGGGCTGGTGAGATGGCTCAGTGGTCTAAAGCACCTACCTAGAACAAGCTAAGCAAAGCACAGGGACCGCGGTTCAATCCCCCAGCACCACATGCCAGCCCGCCCCACCCCCTGGTGGGCTGAGCTGGCCACACACACACACA